AGAACAGAGGAGCCCTGAGACCACATCTAATCCCACAGCTTCCTCCAGTCACTGGTAATGGCTTGGGATAGGAGCAGAGAAAGAAATCATTCAGGTTTAACTCAGGATGAGGGTGGGGAAAAGTGTTAGTAAGAGGCATGCCAGCCCCACAGGGGAAAAGACGGAGTGAAACCAGGTGCAGAAGCATATACCTGTAATCCCAAGGAGGTCAAGGCAGAAGGATCACAAGTTTGAGACCAGACTCTGCAACTTGGTAAAGTCCTAGAAAATTTTAGTGAGGTCATGAAAAAATTTTGAGACAGGTCTCATCAGTCTTTTTTAAAAAGGACCCAGATGTATTTCAGTGGTAAAGTGCCCTTTGGTTCAATCCCCAGAACTAAAAAAAAAAAAAAAATTTAAAAAATGGTGTGAAATTAGGAGGGCTGCTAGGCTGGGAAAAGATGGTTGAAGGATGGGAAGACCTGATGGGGTTGGAAAACAGGTGATGTAGGAGGGAATCAGATGTGAGCAAGCTGAGAATTTGACTTTTGACTATTTTTAAGGGTATAACTAGGTTACACCGTGCCTAGGATAAAATTAAGTTCACCAAATAGTACTTTTTTTGGCTTGGTAGGATCTCAGATTCCTCCAGGAGAGCACCTAGAATCCCAAGGGCTTCTTCCAGATGCACAGAGAACTAGTTCATGAGGTTCCTCCTTATTTCCCTCTCCCACTCAAGACTTCAGTGGAGCTAGCCCTTGTCAATGCCAATACCCACCCAGGGCACTGCCACTGTCAAAGCTCATGGGGGGCCTGATGTGGCTGCTGGTACCCCCTGTCTGCACTGAGACCACCACTGCCCAAAGTCAAGAACACTCATGTTGAGGGAAGCAGTGGTCAAGGGCTCAGGAGATCTAGGTTTTCATTCTGGCTCTGCATAGTTCATTAGTGCTGCGACCTTCAGCAAGTTCATTAACTTCCCTCAGCTTCAGTTTCCTAAACTGCAGAGAGGAGGATAACAAGATTATCCTTGTCATTGGGTGGTTGTGAAGTTCAAATGAGAAAATGCACACAAACCCCTTAACATGACCTGGAGGTAGAGTGAGTGGGTAACAAATGGTGGTGATTCTTGACTTTTGTTATTATAGACCTTGCATTCATTAACTCATTTAACAAACAAATTCTAGGCATTCTCTCACATATGTCCAGTGCGTCAGCCAAAATATATTTCCTGATATTTCCCAACACTTTACATGTTCCCTCAACCCCCAGTGGCTTTACACAGGCAGTTTGCTCTTTCTGGATTGCCCTTCAACCCACTGATGGCTGGCAAACTTGAAATTTGAGCCTCAATTAATGGCTGATCTTCTCAAGGAACTTGCCCTCAGGCTGAGGATGTAGCTCAGGGGTAGAATGCTTATCTAGCATATGTGAGTTGCTGGTTCAATTCCTGGCACCAAAATAAATAAATTAAATAAAAATCAAGGGCTGGGGATGTGGCTCAAGCGGTAGCATGCTCGCCTGGCATGCGTGCGGCCCGGGTTAGATCCTCAGCACCACATACAAACAAAGATGTTGTGTCTGCCAAAAACTAAAAAATAAATGTTGAAAGTTCTCTCTCTCTCCCTCCCCCCCCTCACTCTCTCTTAAAAATAAATAAATAAATAAAGGTAAACTTATTAAAAAAAAAAAAATCAAGACACTTGCCCGGACATTCCAACCTGGGTCAGATGCCTCCTCTGAGTTCCCATATGGTGAGGGCTATCTCATTGCACAACTCTGGAATAAGGACCAATCATATGGACTCCCAGCATTGTACAACGTGGCAACTTTGCCCATTATCTTTCCGGGCTCCCTCTATCAGAGTTTTTATCACACTCCTACTGTAATGATTTATTTACCTGTTTACCCTCTCAGACTCTGAACTCCTTGAGGACTCTGGCTGACACACAGTCAGGGTGCAGTGAATGCTGGCTTGAGTGGAGGGATACTGAGGCTCCTAGGCTGGCTGGGGGGACAGAATGAACCACCATGAAATGTGTCAAAAAGTAAGCATCACCAGAGGTTCACAGCCCTGGAACTTTTTGAAGACAAACAGACCTGCAAGGGGCAATTCAGTAGTCAGTGGGTGACTGGAACAAGGACAAAAGAATGAGATACTTGGAAAGCCAAAGGCCGCATACTTCTGGAATGCTCTACTTAGCATTCCAGCCTCCTATCCCACAATTTGCACCTGGTCTAAAATGAAGGAAGTAATTGGTTTAAAGGTCTTACAGGGGGACCACTCTGGGCTGATTTTCTTTGCCAGGCCTATTTTTATATGCATGGTCCAGGGGTACAGCATGGAAGTAGGCGGATGTAATGAGAGGCTCTCACTCTGCTCTAAAATATAGTTTGAGGAACAGAGGCTTAGCTCAGTTTTAGAGCACTTCCCTAGTATATGCAAGGCCCTGAGTTCAATCCCCAACACTGGGGAAAAGAGAAAAAAAAAATTCTTTTTTGAGCATTAGTGCTACCATAGGCAGGGAACAGATTAGAGGGCCTTTAGAAAAGGCCTCTCTTCCTCGGTATGGATTTAAATATTGCTGCTGAGAATAAACACTTTTGTAGGTGTGTGTGTGTGTGTGTATGTGTGTTCTGCTTTTAACCACCCCACCATCATCCCCATTTACTTCAAAAGTCCAAGTCAGAACAATGAGGAGGAGGCATAGCTTGTCACTTCTCATTGATATAAAGACTCTAAAGGGACAAGATTTCAAGAATCAAAATGGCCATACCTCCCCCAGGCTGTTGGCTGAAGCCTGTTTCCCTCTGTCCTCTTGCTATTCTAGACTAAGTATTTAGACTTTGAAAAACATTTGACTGTTTCTTATCCTGTTGATCCTATCCCAGGTGGCTTATCTGGATGAGGTGTCCTGCAAACCTGATGGAGGTTTTCCCTGTAGGGAGGTGAAAAGGTGGTTTCTTTCTGGGTGTTTAGGGAAAAAGGATCTGAGACAGGGGAATAAAGTTAGGAACAAAGTTAGGAACAAAGTGAACTCATAAGGGGACATCCTGTGAAATAGTTTAACAAATTTTGATGGTCTCTCCCCTTGGGTAGTTATGTGACAGGTACAATTTGGAATTATTTCTTCTAGTTGTATTTCCCTACAGGAATTCCTGCTCTTCAGTGAAGTTCACCACATTCACTGGACCTCAGGAGAGAGACTAAGAAGGAGGTTAGCTTGTCCCAGGCCATATTTGGGTAGATGGATTTGTAGGAAAAAGCATCAGGCCCTGCTCAAAACCAACAGTGTGAGGAATCCTGCTGGGCAGGAGGCCCTGGAGCAGATGTGGGAGAGAGGAAGGGGACCTTGAAGGGAACAAAATATGGAGTGGTCCTTTGGAGGAGAGGAAGCAGTCAGGGTAAGTGATGTGGATCCAGCAGAGGTTCAGGTTCTTCTGGAGATGGAGAGCTTCAAGTCCCAGGGTAGGACAAAGTCTCAGAGAAGGAATTAGGGTGAAGGTAAGGGTGAGCATCCCTTTGATGCAGTCCCAGGCCCTGGGTGCTGCCTCCCTCTGACCATGTCCCATAAGAAGCCAGGCTATAGGCTGTGCCTAGGCTTCCTTGCTCTTCTCTGCTTAGTGGAAAGGTCCTGATAACATGCAGGATGGCCTCTGGCTACCTGAGGATACTCCCAAGTGTCACCTGCCCTACCCTTCACCTCCCACTTGTTCTTAGTGACCAAGGAAATCCTTGGGCAGCTCAAGGAACCTACTACCTTTCCTAGGGCCTGCTCTCCTAGGAGGGAGCAATGTTGAGAGTCTCCAGGAAGACAAGTAGGGTGAAGAGAAGCTCCAGAAGCTGTGACTCTCCTCTGTGATACCTTTCCCACTCCCATCCAACATAAGCCCAGAGTCCTGAGTTCAGAGAAGACAGCTTACTGGTTAAGGTTTAGAACCCAGCTCAGCTCAAAAGCTTAGATTCAGACACCAGAGCTCAAAGCCATTTCAGTGCATATAACACAGTCTAGAACTTAGAACTCAGAGCCCAGAACAGCCCAATCCTAGTCCAGGTTCAGAGCCCAGAACCCAGACAGAACTCAGAGCACAACTCAGTACAGGCCCAAAGTCCAGCCTATGTCAAAGAAAAGAGTCAAATCTTAGAGTCAAGCCCAGACTTAAAGCCCAGCTCATAGAGTCAGGGACCAGAATTCAGATCAAAGTGAAGCCCAAAATCTAGACCCAGGACAGCCCAGAGTCCAGCTCAGAACCCAACCCAAAGCCTAGAACTTAACACTTAGCTCCAGAACTCAAAATCCAGTTTAACAGTCAGTGTGGCCTAGAACTCTATATCCAGCCCAGAGCTTCGTAGTTCCTTGTTGTTCTTTCTAGAGTTAGCCCCAAAAGAATAGGCCAAGGCTACAAGCTGAAGAGAGGGAATTTCAGATCCCATCCCTTCTAGCAGGAGAAGACAAGGAGCTGATGTTTGGGGAAGGGGAAGAGGGGTAGGATAGATGGTATTCCTACTCTTATTTTGGAGGATCCATAATGGGGTTCAGAAACCAGGCAAAATGTCTTGGGGTTTTCTCTGCTACAGCTGCCCATCAGAATCCCAGTGGGACAGGAAGCAGAATCCTTCTGCTATTAACTTGCTGTGTGGGCTTGGGTAAATCCTTTCCCTTCTTTGGTTTCATTGCACCCAGAAAGGATATTAGGTTATCCTTTATTTAGACTTATAGACCCAGAAACAGAGGAAAGGACTATTACAAATAGTCTCTCCATCCATTTATTCTTTAATCCATCATTTATTAAATAAAACAATTTGTTCAATAAAAATAATTTGTTCAATAAATGATTTTAAACGGGGGGATAAAATGGTCAGGTTTTTTTTTTTGTTTGTTTGTTTGTTTTTTTGTACCAGGGATTGAACTCAGGGGCACTTGACTACTGAACCAAATCCAAGCCCTATTTTTTGTATTTTATTTAGAGATAGGGTCTCACTGAGTTGTTTAGTGCCTCGGGTTTTGCTGAGGCTGGCTTTGAACTCTCGATCTTCCTGCCTCAGCCTCCTGAGCTGCTGGGATTACAGGCATGAGCCACCACACTCGGCCAGATTTGGTTTTTCGAAAATTCACCTGTGATTGGATCAGAGGGGACCAGTGAGGGATCAACTCTGAAGATGACAAATGGCAATGTCTTCTTTAGAAAACGCAGATGTAGTCATTTCACTGCTCTGCTCAGTCCCTTCCATGGCTCCCACCCTCTTCAGGAGGAGGGTGCAAGGCTTCCTTCCATCTCAACCTCACAGTGCTGATTCTTATCCAGCAAAAGCCCCGCCAGCCCAAGCTGCTCGCTGGTCTGGGGCACACCAACCTCCATCACACCTGCATGCCTATGGTGCTCCCTTTGCCTCACACACCCTTGTCTATCTCAGGAACTCCTACTTACCTGATACGGCCCGGCTCCATCATCACCTCCTCTATGAAGCCTTCTTAGACCTCTGCCCCTCAAACAGAATTTGGTGTTCTCAATTCTGCTTACGTGTTGAATCTCAGAACATAGCAAGAAATTTGTTTTCTCGGTATCTGTTAATCAAAGGCATACATCCTGCCAATCAGGGAAAAGATTAAAAAAAAAAAAAAGAAAGAAACTATCACCTGTTTTGTACATACACATCCTCTCATCAGATCATCAGGATAACACCATAAGGCATTGCTACAGATCAGATAGATGATGCTCAGAGAAGTTGTGACTTGCCCAAAGTCACACAGATAGCCAGAGACAGAACTGGATTCAGACTTGACACGGTGGACTCTAGTTCCCAGCTATGCCATTATCTCTTGCTCTCGATCAGCACGAGATCACAGCATAATCATGAGAAGCTGGAGGTGCTGACTTGACATAGTGGGGGTGGAAAGCAGATTTCATACAGCACTGGGTTGCCTGATATTCTTTCATGTGTGTGTTCAGATGGATAAAAAGGAAGCCCAAAGTGGAGACAGGGCTCTAGGAGGTATCCAAGAAGATCTGCACCTGTTGAACTGACCCATGAGACTCTTCAACTCTGAGATGGTCAAGGCCAGCAGGCTAAGGCTGTTCCTTGCAGGAACATAGTATGAGCAGGAGGAGGGCACAGTTTTGGCCAGCTACGAAAAGAGAGGCATTACTCAGACATCAGTCTCTGTCCTCTCCACCAAGGTCAGGCTCTGTCTTTACTCTTGCTCAAGGATCTTCTATGATGTAAAGGTCCCTGAGGCCACCTAGTAGCGTGGTTGAGCCACTAGGCCTTCTTACATGCTGTCCCATGGCCTCAGAAGCGTAGCTCTTCGAGCCAAAGCTGACATCATCCAGCTTCTTCCACTTGGTCATTCTTACATCTTCTCAGCACAGAGTAAGGGCTCTTTCTTTCTTCTGGGGAAAAGGACCTTAAACTTGAAAAAGGCTAGGACTTAAAGACCCTGAGACACTGATTGGTGACAGGCAGTGTGTGTGGAGGAGTACCAGCTGTCCCAAAGAATCTCTGAGCACTCTCCATACCCCTCATCTCTGAGAGAACTGAGGCTCAGAGGTCAGGCCCATCACCCAGCTCAAAGCCAGCAAAGGAGGCCTCTCTGTGGCATGGTCTATAGACTCCTGAGAGACGGATCAGTCCTGAGGCCTCTCCTGCTTCACAATTACCCAATCAATATGATCTAGACAGGAACTGGCAGCCTCAAGTGACTTGAAGGGCCCTCAAAGAACCTCTCTTGGGACCCTTCTGCCCTACCTCCTCCCAAAAGGGCAAACAAAGAGACAAGATGGGGAATAGGCCAAGGCATTGCCATCACAGCAGCTATTCCAGGAAGCCCTTGCTCTGGGCCTGCACAACCCTAATTTCTTCAACTTGGCTATTCTCTTGAAGCACCACCACCCTGGATGAAAAAATTTGCTAGTGGCTGCTGAGACACTCATGTTTCAAAGTATGGGCTTGGCCCCTTTTCTATAGAAGTCAGGGTAGTAGTTCTGCCAGGTAGTGACTGGAAAGATCTTACCACTGGATAACAGATTGAAAGCTACTCCACCCAGCAACTATGGCAATCCATCAACAACTTTCACTCAGCAACAATATCCTAGCATCAACTCTGCAACAGCTCCACCTGGTAATCCTGCCCTGGCATCAGCCCACTGTACCATCTTGAGTCGCCAGACATATATCTAGCCCCTAATCATTTATAAGCAAATTTTCTTACCTCTGGCCTGAATGGTCTTACTTGATGAATTTTTGCCCAAACAATGATAATGATAACAATAAACATTTTTAAGTGCTTACTTCATGTCAAGCACACTGAGTGCTCCACTTAATTCTCATGCCAACCCTAGAAGATAGGTACAATTATTATCCCCATTTGGCAGATGGGGAAACTGAGGCTGAAAGAGATTTATTATTTGCCCAAGAGTAAAATGCAATGATAAAGACGAGGTCTGAAGCCAGGTAATCGTCTCTGGGATCTTTGCACTTAACAGTGCTTCTCTGCCTTCCAGGAAGCTCATGAGGCCCAGTAGCCTCCCGGGTGGCCCTCTGAAGAGTATGCTAGAGTATGTAAAGGAGGATACTAGGTGGGACTTCATGCCCTGTGAGGGAGCAGACAGGTGGAGAGCAAGCAGGGGAGCTCTTCAGTTCGTTTGTCCTTGGCTGTGAGGCTGGACTAGGCCCAGAAAGTGTGGTCCCACCACAGAGTGGGGAGCTGTTTGCCTCTCAGGGAGAAGCCCTTGTTTTCGCTGCTGTCCTAGATGGAGAAAATGTTGCTGCACAGAATGGGCCCAGGTTTCTGCTCCAGGCTCTTGAAGCTAACCAAGCTACAGAGGATGCCATCTGCCTGCTATAGACTAGAGCCTCAACAAAGTCCCTTGGGCTCCAGGCCTGACGGTATGGGGGTAAGCAGGTGGGAAGGAAAATGTCCAATGGGCCCAATGTGTCAAATGGTCAGGATTGTAGGCACCTGAAAGACAACCACGAAGCTCATCATAAGAAAAAGGGGGCCGTAAAATAGGTTTGTAAAATATAATCCCTGCTTCTCTTCTCTTAGTTTTAGGTTTATCATCTACAGAATGGGACCAGTCCCCAGTGGTGTTTTAAGGAGTAAACATGATGATCTACATAAGGCAAAAGTACTTAGTACAATGCTGGCCCAGCATACAGTGGGTGCTTGATAACTGAGAGTTATTGAATTAACTGTGCCCTGATTTAGTAAATTGTGAATGAGTATTTCTAGTGGTGTGTACGGGGCTCTATTCTGACCAAGAATATGGAAGGTGGAGTTGAAGTTGCAAGGGGCAGCCTGGATCTAAATTTGGAGTGAGAAAACACTGGGCAATAGAGCCAGCCTTCAAAACAGTTTCCACAGCTTGGGATAAGCAAGATGACATTGTTCTGCTGTGAACTTGACGATATTACACAAAGCAGAGGATGGGGGAGAGACCTAACTTGACCCCAGCTCCGGTGAAAAGGATCTGAATGATTTAGTTGACCACAACCTGATGGGAACTAATCATGGGAGAGAAAGGCTCTGAAGCCCAGCAGTCTTAGGCTGCATTAACAATGTGTCGTGTCCAGACTGGGGGAAATAATAGGCCTATTGTGCTGGCCTAGTCAGGCCATATCTGGAATCTTGCGTTGCTACACTGACAGACTGGAATCAGGCCAGGAGGGGGACCAGGCCAGCCTCAGCTCCCAGGCACTAGTGTTAAATGCTTCCTGTGCATTTTCTTGTTCCATCCCCTAAGCAATCCTATTAGGTCCTGTTAAAGTCCCCACCTTACACACTGGGAGGTTAATTGAGTTATCCAGGATCAACCACACATCTAGTGCATGGAGGAAACTGAGGCTTTTCCAAATGGGCACCTCTTGTACTTGCACCTGAGATATGAACATTCATTCACTTCACACATATTTGTTAATGTCCTACAAAGAGCCAGGGGCATCAAACTATTTAGTGGGATATAGAAGTGGAAAAGATGTAGTTCCTACCTTCAAGGAGATCATGATCTGGCAGTGGAATCCAGATCACTTGTGAAATGATGTGATTCTAAGGGAATGGAGATTTTTAGGGCACAAGGGTTCATAGAGTCCACCGTGGACATCTCAAGCCCAGAGAAGGAATGGGAGACAGAACAGTGTCATAGGGCTCTTGGTGGAGTTGTGGGGGCCTGTGCATGCCCTTTTCATGGTATTCAAGTGTTTCACTTCCACTCACTTTTGCTCAACAGTGACCAAGAACTGCATGCCCAACTGGGGTCTCTAGGACACACAAAGGAGCTTAGTGTGGCCATCCTGGAATCTTATCTCTCCTCCCTGCAACCAGAGATTTAAAGAAAGAAAGGGAAAACACAAATAAACCAAACAGCCTGATAAAAATAACTACATGAACATGGGTGAGTGGCCTTTGAGAGTCCAGCAGTCCCTTCACTAATCAGAACTGGCCTCCACCAGGTATCCTGAGTACCTGGAAAGTGAATGGGCATCTGTGCCAGGCTTCTGTACTAGATAATGTCCTCCCATCTTGTTTCAAGGGCCAGACTGCTCTACACTTTCTTTCTGAAAACCTATCCCGATAGTTTCAAGCCAGAGTGTCTTTATAGCTTTTAATCTCCCAAGGTTTCTTGTTGGGGAGGCACATGTACCCCATTCAGCCTTCTGTAATTATGCTAAAAGGGACAGAATAGGGTTATTAAGAGCAAAGACTACGAATCAGACAAAACCTTCCAGGCCCGGCTCTGCCACATAACAGCTGTTCCCCTTTTTTGAATCTCCCTTTCCTCGGCTGTAAAATGGGGTTAATAATAGTACCACCCTCATATGGTGGTTGTGAGGGCCGAATGAGATCATGTTAAGCTTGGAGGAAGCTATCCATAAAAGGCCGCTGTTACCTTACTAGACTCTATAGCTAGGGAGCTCCCTGCCAGCAGGGGCAGACACCAGGTTGCCTCATTTTTCTGTCCCTTCACGAAGGTCCCCATGATGCCAAAGTCAGGAAGAAGAAATGGTCGATCTCTGGGAACTAAAAGAGGGACATCGGTAGGGAAAGGGACAGCCTAAATCCTTCAAGTCTGAGGGAGAGAGAGAGAGACGCGATCTCACTTCCGATTTTAAAAGGGGCAGTGGACCTCCAAGCCCCTACCTTTCCTAGGTCTGGAGGTTAGAAGTTATGGGTTGGCTGCTCGACTCAGGGAGAACTCACTCTGGGGAACCTCAGGCAGGTCACTTTCAGCCTTGGGCCTCAGTTTTCTCGGGCGTGCCAGGTGGGTCCCGCAGACTTCCCTAGGTTATGAGGACAGCGCGCAGCCGGATGCCGGTTCCGGGGCTTTGAGAACGTGGCTCAGTGGCAAGGCGCCGCCGGGCGGGAGGGGCTGGCGGGAGGGCCGGCAGGCGCGGGGATTGGCTGGAGGTGGGGCAGCGGGGCTCAGGGATTGGCCGGATCTGAAAGGGCAGGGCCGAACGTTTAAGAGGCGCGGAGGGGGCGTGCAGGGAGTGCTTCCCTCGCCTGCCTGTGGGTTTACTAGGTGGCCCGAGGAGCAGAGGAGCATCCCGGCGTGCCGGTCCCAGACGGCGTGGCCCGCGGGTCATGGCCAAAGGAGAGGGCGCCGAGAGCGGCTCCGCGGCGGGGCTGCTGCCCACCGGCATTCTCCAAGCGGGTGAACGCCCGGCCCAGGTGAAGGTGAGGGCCCAGTACCCCGAGTGGGAGGGAGGCAAGAGGTGGTGGGCAGGCCAAGACGGGATGCGGGGGCGTCGGAGGTTAGGCCTGATTCTGGGAAACAAGGGATTATCTGGGGCCAGGCGGGCCTAGAATTAGGAGACGCTGGGGGAGCCCCGAAACCAGGTAATGCCCCGGGCCAGAACGTGATGGAGAGGATCTGTAGGCACCGGCGCCCACTTTTGCCTAAACACTTTCCTTGTCGGCGGAGGGCCCTGCTGACAGCTTCTTGTGGTGCCGGGCTCTGCTTAGCCGGTTTTGGTTCTTCTGTGCCGAGCGGCTCGGATTTTCCGCCCTAAAAGTTAGAGAGACCCCAGAAACCTGGAAATCCCCCCAAGGGGATTCATTGGTTCCTCATTCACCCCCACCTCCCCCCCACCCCCACCCGCCTACTCTCGCGCCTCAACTCAACTAACTCGGGCCACTCAAGTTCATTCATAAGAACAAGGGCTCTGCTCTTAAAGGAGCCGCATTCCTCTGGCTGAGTGTGGGGGTTCGCGCATAGTGCTCTGCGTCAGTCTCATCATCCATCCGTCCCAGCCCCTGCCCTATGGACTTATTTAACGACCGAATAAAACCAGGCTGTCCCAGGAACGGATGTTAGGCAATAAATATCTGCTTGGGAGGTGACTGCCTTTTCTTTTAAATTTTATTAGCTGATCCTTGGAAGGAACTGAGTGAGCAATTATGCTGTTACCATGTATGAGTAATCTCTACTTTCCCTGGGCAACCCCAACCTCCGTAGTTCCCCACCCAGAGAGGGCCTACTTCTGCACCTAGAGGCCTTTCCGCCACTCTCCGAGGTCCCCTAGGAGCAGGAGGCTAGGACCACTCCTGAGTTTGCCTGAAGCTCTGGTTGCCTACAGGGACCAGGGACGCTCTGGGACAGATGGAAGGAACAGCTGTGCCTGCAGCCAGCTGGGATGGGCCCCTAGGGCTCTCACTCAGTAGGCAGGTGGATCCTGGCCTCAGCCAGAGTGGGAGCCTGGGCTGGGCTCAGGCAGCTCTTGGCAGCAAGAGGATTTTCAGGTTGTGGCAGCTGATGTTGGGTGGGGACAGGTTTGCTGATGGAACATGCTCCCCCTCTGTAACTTGGGAAGGAACAGTGGCTGAGGCCTGGGGGAAGAGGGGAGGGAGTAGCTATTTAGAGATAATGGGCTGATAGATTTCCTCAGACTGGGGTGGAAGGGGGAAACTTAGGGGCGACTTCTTCAGGAATATGAATGACTTTTTTCCCCAGGTTCCCAAGAATAAAGAATACCTTTCTCTTCTTATGGGAAGTGGAATCTCCTTGGTGGGAACAGGGCAAGGCAGAGTTGTTCCTCCTGGCAGAGCTGGCTGGAGGAAAGGTCCTGCCTCTAGGATGAGGCCAGGAACTTGAGCCTTTTCATTTTTCCTCCTCTTCCCAGAAGGAGCCAAAGAAGAAGAAGCAGTTGTCCATTTGCAACAAACTTTGCTACGCTGTTGGGGGGGCCCCCTACCAGGTGACGGGCTGTGCTCTAGGGTTCTTCCTGCAGATCTACCTATTGGACGTGGCTCAGGTGAGTGGCCTGAGCCCTCTAAGGCTCCTCCAGCATCCTGAGGTGGGAAAAGTTCGGCACCCTGAGTAGGACCAGTTAGTTTTCCCCATCTGTGAACTGGGACTAAAAATTCCTACTTTGCTGTCTCTCAGAGTCACAGTGAATGAGAAATAAGTCTTTAGAAAGTATCAAGGAGGGGAGTCTATCTGCCCCAGAATAGCTGGCAACTCCTCCTTGCCTGGCAAGAGCAATAGAGCTTGGAGGGGTAGGCGGTGGTGTGAGGGAGAATGGAACCCGCTGGTGACGCTGTTCTTAGAAGAGACTGGCACACCATGTCCCTGGCTGGAAGAAAGTCAGCTGGCTTGGCTCAGGGGCCAGTGGATGTTGCCAGGCTTGTGGAGATGTATATCCCACCTTCACCTGAGGAGCAGAGACATGTCATTGGCAGTGGGACCCTCACGTGCTGGGCTAAGTTAGAATTCCCCAGTGCACAGGGGCTTTGATTAAGAGGAATTCTCAGGGTGAAGCAGAGCTACTCTGTGCTTTGAGAAGCCTTGGCCAGCAGCCTGGCATCCCGAGAATTCACCCTGTCTGGATGGGAAAGTGGGAGGCTAAATAGCCATGGCTACCAGGGATCCTGCACTGGGTGTCTTTCTATGTAGCATCTGACTTGGCAAACAGAGTGTCTGGGTTGTATCCATTTTCAGGTAAGAAATACTGAGCCCCAGAAAGGACAAATGATTTCACTCAGCAGATAGTTTTTGAGCAACACCCATGCACTAGGCCCTAATTGAGGTGCAAATATGAGAAACTTGTAGTTGAAGTATAAAAATGTAGTAAGTGTTAGAGCTTGGGGGTCAGATTGGAGAGACTACGGTATGCAAGAGGCTTCCAGCTTCCCAGACCAATAACTTGATGGTTGAGTAGGAGTCCAAGGAATCTGCGTTTAAATTCTGTTTGGGGACAGAGGGATAGCTTGAATAGGTAGAGATGGGCCACCTTTTAAAAAGCTTCTATAGGGCTGGGGTTGTGGCTCAGCGGTAGAGTGCTCACCTAGCATATGCGAGGTCCTGGGTTCGATCTTTAGTACCACATAAATAAATAGAATAAAGCTATTGTGTCCAGCTACTAAAAAATAAATATTAAAAAAATAAAATTAAATAAAAAGCTTCTATAGACTCCTTCCTCATCCAAGATAGAGCTTGACCCTCTACAATAGAGATAGTAACTCCCATTATACAGATGGAAAAACTGAGATCCACTGTGTATACCCAGTGAATGTTAATTCTGATTTCAGGTGGTCAGAGTCTCAGGGATGTGAAAGGGAGGGAAGGAAATGATTTTGGATTCATTCTACTTGATAGGAGTATTTTCAAGGGCAGCAAAGGGGAGGAAATAGATCCAGGAAAGCTTCTAAGGGAGTACACAGAGCTACTGTTATCAGAGAAATGCTATTGTCATTTTTTTCCCCTGGGGATGGAACCCAGGGCTTCACACATGCTAGGCAAGTAATCTACCATTGAGTTATACCCCCAGGTCCACTATTGTCATTATTAATAAGGAAAATGAAGATGTTGAAGGTGCATATGGGAGCAGCATAGGGGCTTAAGGCCTGGCTGAGGCAGGGAGGGAGTCCCTGTTTTGCAGTTAGGACTGAGGCGAATCAAAGAATGACGGAGTTGTCTCTTTCCCTCTTCCCCCTTCCAGGTGAACCCTTTCCCTGCTTCCATCATCCTGTTCGTGGGTCGAGCCTGGGATGCCTTCACTGATCCTCTGGTGGGCTTCTGCATTAGCAAATCTTCTTGGACCCGCCTAGGCCGCCTCATGCCCTGGTGAGTGGAAGAGGCTCCTTCGAGGTAGCAGAAGACGAATCTTCTGGCATATTTCCCTTGGTCCTTTCATCTCTTGTCACAGGCTGGGGGGTGAGGAGAAGGAATGATATAAAAGTGGTGTTGAAACCCATTTGAGGCTTCAGCTACCCCATACACGGCCACTGAAATGCCTAGCCTGTTCATTCCCAGACTAGGCAAAGTACCAGGCATGGCAGCTTCCCTCAGCCCAGGCTGGAATTCTGACTTCTCCCACTCAGTCACTTCCATAGTGGCAGAGCTACTGCTCTAGAACAGTTGAGCTAGCCTGCCTGGGTTTGAATCCCAACTTCACTACTTAACAGTTGTGCAATCTTGAGCAGGTGAACATCTCTGAGCCTCAAGTTTCTTCATCTGTAAAATGGGGATAAGGAACTTCTCACAGGGTTGTGGTGAGGGCTAAATGGTTTTTAATGTGTAAAGCACTCAGCAGACTACCTGGCACATATTAAGTGATATGTAATTTGGCCCTCCTTCAGGGTGGCTCCTTGTGAGGCAGGGGTTGAGGGCTATATTGGAATGGGGTAGCAGATCCATAACCTCTGGTGCTTTGGATGATATGAACTACTTTTTCCCTTGGTATAAAGCCTGTACTACTCAAACTCAGGCTGTGGAGCAAGGTGGGAGGAGGCGGTTGCCATAGATCAGACAGCGAGGGAGACATACAAGACAAGGCCAAGCCGGGGCTCTGGTTCCCTCCAGGACATCCTGCTTCAGGGCGTGGGGGGGGCATACCCCTTTCATCTCCAGCCCATCCAAGCTCAAGTGGGCGCCTTCCTGCCCCAGGGGCGCCCATACCTGGTCTCCGGCCTTCAAAGCTCTTCCCACAGCCCCTGCATCCCCACAGCTTCCTTTCCCACGAGGCCCCCCACCCACTCAATCCTGCCAACCCCTGGCAAAAGCCCAGGTTGGAGCCTTTGATCCTGACTTCAGGGTAGAGGGCAGGATGGCCTGTCTTACCTGAGCAGGCTGCTCGGGGCTCCCCAATCGCCAGCCGTGAGACTTGGCCTTGCGCCCATCTCCTGGCAGCCAGTGGAAGGCGGGGCCCTGCTGCCACATCGCCTCATGAGGCTCAGCCAATGAGAGGAAGCTGCTAGGCCAGGCTGCCCGGACCGAAGCACAGAAACTGCAGGGTTTACTCCCAGTCACATTGGGTTCCTCGGGCAGGGCAGCGCTGTTCTATTCATCTGCTTATGAGCCAAGGATGGCATGTCAAGGAAGGCTCCTAGGGAGCCCTTGCTCTCTAAGGAGACACGTGGATTTGGGATGGTTAGAGGAGGCGGAGCACCCAGAGGACCCACCCTATAGGAGGCAGGATCTGAGGCCTTGCTGGGCAGATATGCAGCCAGCTTGGAAAAGTCACTGGGGGCCCTATAGGTTGCTTTCTGCTTTAGCAGGTGTCTTTGTGCATGTTTGAATGCAAACTCAAAGGTCTGCAGCACCCCTTTCTTTTCAGTGTAGGAAGAAGCAGGGTGTGTAAACCGTAGGACTTCCTCTCCTTCCAAGCCTGGGGGCAGCCCTCCTCTAAACCTGTACTTAAATCCTCTTCTTCAAACCAGACAGACTTTGAGGTTTACTTTCCCTGGAGTTGCCAAGGCACCCTATTAGAGACAGGTGTCAGCAGGGACATGTGGAAAGGCCAAGATGCAGCAGGCTGGACCTCTGGTGCACTTTTAAGCCCCCTGGTCATGGCCTGTACTACTTCTCCCAAGGCGGCTCCTGCTAGCTTCCCTCATGTGATCACTGTACACAATGTCCCAAGAACTGCTCTACATTTTCATGCCAACTTATTTTAAGTCTCAAGACTACTTCAACCCTATGAAGTAGAACCTAAGTCCTTCCCATGGCTCCTAAGATGTCCAATTTCCTCTCTGAGCTTATCTCCTAATTTCATCTCCCTTGCTCACTGAACTCTAGCGCTCACTGTTCCTCAATCTTATCAGGCACGTTCCTGCCTGAGGACCTTTGCACTGATTTTCCCTTGTCCAGCCCAGCTTTGCCTCAGATGCCTGCAAGGCTCACTCCCTAGTTCTATTCAGTCCACATAGTCATTGCCTTCTCAGTGGGACCTGTGCTGTCTACGTGTTGTGAAATGCACCCCCATTCTTACTTCTAATTCTCTGTAGTCTGCTTTACTTTTTTTTGGGGGGGGGGTATTGGAAGTTGAACACAGGGCTACTCAACCACTGAGCCACTCTCCACCTCTGTTTTGAATTTTAGTTAGAGACAGGGTCTTGCTTAGTTGCCTAGGGCCTCACTAAATTGCTAAGGCTGGCTTTGAACTCTCCATCTTCCTGCCTCAGCCTCCCAAGCCACTGGGATTTCAAGGGTGCACCACTACACCTGGCTGCTTTACTCTTTTCTCCTTATCTCTTATCACCTTCTATCATGTTTTTAAAAACTGTGAGAAAATATATGCAACATAACATCATCATTAATCATTACAACTATTTTTAAGTATAAAGTGACATTAAGTTTACATTCACATCTTGGTTAGCTATCACCACCTCCACCTCCAGTTCTTTTTATCTTCTTAGATAGAAACTCTGTACCCATTACAATAATCTCCATTCTGCCTTTCTCCTAGCTCCTGCTAACTCTCATTCCATTTTCTGTCTCTATAAAGTTGGCTTACCTTACATAAGTTAAATTATACAATAGTCGCCTTTTTGCAACTGGCTTATTTCACTTAGTTTAATGTCCTTAGAGTTCATCCATTTTATAGTATATATCAGAATTTCATTTCTTTTGAAGGCTGAATTTTATATATATATATATGAAATTTTAATTTTGTGGGTTTTTGTTGTTGTTGTTGATCAACTACAATCATAAGGGCATTTTTGGGGAGGAGGAGTACTGGAGATTGAACCCAAGAATGCTCTACCACTGAGCTATCTCTAGCCATTTTTATTTTTTATTTTGAGACAGGGTCTCCCTAAGTTGCTGAGGCTGGCCTCAAACTTGTGATCCTCCTGCCTCAATCTTTTGAATAGCTAGAATTACAGACATGTATCACTGTGCCTATCAGGACAATGTTTTCTTTCTTTCTTTCTTTTTTAATATTTTTGTTCACTAATATATCCTGAGCAATTAGAATAGCACCTGGTACATAATTGGCACTTATTAAGTATTCAGGTAAATGTTCGACGTAAGGCATGTGCTATTTTTTTATTCTCATTTTACACATGAGGAAATGAGTCTCATAGAGGTTAAATAACTAACCCAAGACTAAGGTTTTTTGTTGTTGTTGTTGTTGTTTTTGTTTGTTGTTTGTTTGGTATTAAGGATTGAATCCAGGGGCACTTAACCACTTAGCCACATCACCAGCCCTTTTTAATTTTTATTCTGGGATAGGGTCTCATTAAGTTAGGGCTTAGGGCATTGTAAGGCTGCTGAGGCTGGCCTTGGACTTGCAATCCTCCCCCCTCAGCAGCTCAAGATGCTGGGATTATAGTTATTTGCCACCAGGCTTGGATATCCAAGACTAAGTTTTTATAGTTAATTGGTAAAACCAGAGTTGAGTCCCAGAAGTGAGACTTCTAAGATCTTTCTCTTAACCTTTGTACTCTGCTCCCTTTCTATGCTGATGCTGTGAAGTCAATCCATCCTGAAGTCTAAGGTGACATATGGGTAGGACTCACGTGTACATGTATACTTATGTCATGAGGTCCATTCCTCCCAGGTGGCTCCTTCATATTCTTTCACCCGGAGTTGGCTTCTCCCACCCCACCCCACCCCAGCTTCCCTGTGTGTACAGACGATACATGTACACATGTAAAAACACACATTTGCTGGGGTTGCTCCTTTTCCCTGCCCTGAAGTCTTGGTCTCATTGCAGTCCAGGGGCCCCATTCCATTCTGCGCTTACTGTCTTGGCCTTCAGCCTCTTCCCAGAGGCTGGGTAGGTGGGTTTAGCGGGAGGAACTTCCTTCCCAGCAGGTACCTACAGAACCTGACTCCTGGGGTTCTGGCCTCCAGCCTCCACTTAGACCCTCCCCTTCCTCAGGATCATCTTCTCCACACCCCTGGCCATCATCACCTACTTCCTCATCTGGTTTGTGCCTGACTTCCCACAGGGCCAAGAGCTTTGGTACCTGCTTTTCTATTGCCTCTTTGAGACTCTAGTCACGGTGAGTTGTGCCCCTGGGGACCTGGGTGAGGGCAGTCCCTAGGTTCCACATTTGTCCATCTGTCTGACTGGCCAAGGGCCTCTCTTTCATGCCAGTGTTTCCACGTTCCCTACTCAGCCCTCACCATGTTCATCAGCACTGAGCAGAGCGAGAGGGACTCTGCCACTGCCTATCGTAAGTGTCTCCTCAGCCCACCTGACCCCACCTGGGGATCCCTGGCCTCTGTACTCCTAGACCCTTCCTTGCATGTCCAGGCTGTTGTTCTGCTCTTGGGCATGGGTGTGAAGCCATCTTTTTTGTTTGTTTGTTTATTGTGGTTCTCGGAATTGAACCCAGGGCCTCATACATGCTAAGCAGATGCTGTATCACTGAGCTATATCCCCACCCCACGAAACCATGTTGAAAACAATTCAGTCCCCTTATTGCTCAGGTGAGACCCAGAAAGACGCAAGGACTAACCTAAGGTCACACAGAGCAGGCCATGAATATAGGCCAAGGTGCCATCTGCCCTGCCCCTTGGATCCACCATACCTGGATCTCGATGTCCCATCTGTCTGACCTTCCTCTCTGGGCCCACAAGCCATGAGGCCCTCCAAAAGACTCTTTTCACTGCCCAGGGATGACTGTGGAGGTGCTGGGCACAGTGCTGGGCACGGCGATCCAGGGGCAAATTGTGGGCCAAGCAAATGCACCTTGTCTCCAGTACCTCAATGGCTCTGCAGTGGCTTCAGAAAGTGCCAATCGCACATACAGCACCACCTCACTCAGAGAAACGGTGAGACCCCTGGCATGGCAGGGTTTGGGGAAGATGGGGGACAGTGAGATGCTTTGTAGTCATCCTAAAATTAGTAATAATAGTTAGTATTTATTAATTGTTGGGCATTTGATATACATAATTATGACTATGCCCAAAATGCTGATAAGGAAAATGAAGCTTAGAGAGAGAGGCTGAACAATTTGCCTACGGTTGTAGAATTGGTGATTGCAGAGATTTGGGAAGATTTGAACTGTGGGCTCTCAGCTTTCTTTGCCCAGAGCCTGACTTCTTAACATTTTGTACTTTCAAACTTTGCCCAGTCATGGAGAGCAATAGCAGGCCCAGGATGCTTCTCCTGTTTCACAGATGGAGACAGTGAGGCACCCAGAGGAAAAGGGACTGGCCCAAGATCATTGAATGGGGCTGCTGGAATGAGATTAGACTGACAGTCTCTGTATGTCGTCTTCACCCCTTTATAGCAAAATGCATACCTGCTGGCAGCAGGGGTCATTGCCTCTATTTATGTCATCTGTGCTGTCATCCTGACCCTGGGCGTACGGGAGCAGAGAGGTAAGAGGGTCCCAGCTGGGAAGAGGTTCAGGCCCCAGCGCAGAGTGGCTATGTCATTCTGGCTGGCACTCAGGCTTTGGGAGGGTTCTCTGCTTCCTCCTCACTGTCCCCTCTGGTCCCCAGAACCCTATGAGACCCAGCAGGCTGAGCCGATGTCCTTTTTCCGGGGCCTCCGCCAGGTCATGAGCCATGGGCCATATATCAAGCTCATTGCTGGCTTCCTCTTTACCTCTCTGGCTTTCATGGTGAGTGGGGCCTGATGTGCTTAGCCTGAAAGGGGGGTGCAATGGGAGTGGGGTTGGAGAGGACGCAGGATGTGATGAAGCTGATGGACTGATGGAATGAGGAGGGCATGGACTGAGGTTTGTGGGGTGTGGGAAATGACTTGGGGAGGCTCAGCCCCATTGTTACTTCCTTCCTTGCATTTCCTTGCCCTGCCCCGCCCCATTCCTCAGCTGGTGGAGGGGAACTTTGCCTTGTTTTGCACCTACACCTTGGGCTTCCGCAATGAATTCCAGAACCTACTGCTGGCCATCATGGTGAGTGCAGGGCTTGAGGCGGGGCAGGCAGCCTGGGCTGACATGGCTTAGGCTGTGTGGGATAGTTCTTTGGATAGTCAGAAGATGTTTTCAGACTGGTCCATGGTCAGAAAGGGGTGAGGGAAACTTCTTGGAATATTCATTTGGAGCTGACCTACAGTTGCTTAGGC